TCGTTGTAAAAACACGCTTTTATTTTTATTTCTTAAAGCTTTTTTTAATATTCTTTTGACAAACAAATTAATTCGCTGCGATCAAAACAAAAATTCTTGTGAATATATGAAAATGAACTGAAGCATGATTCAATTATATATATTATTATTATTTTTCGTTGAATTAAAGCAAGTTTTCACATATCGGCAGTATCAACTGATTTTTAAACGACCAACACATTAAGTCCATTCAGCCCAAAAGTTCTGTTATTCAGTTCAGTTAAAGCGGTTGTGGGGGGAGGGGGGTCACCGATTTTCTACGCTTTAAGAATCAATAGATGGAATCGAATCATTGGAAGTCGTTTCAATAGGATCAGAAAATTTATTTGCTTTCAATTTCTTCTTTYTAGGTTAAAAGTATAGGCAAATAATGCCCAAATCTACAATTTTATGGAAAGGAAGAAAGTTAATTTCTCCACGATATTTCTGTTCTGAAAGGTATTTCCATAAAACTTAATCACCAGTCTGAAGCTAATAAAGCTTGGAATACTGGATCACAATTTTTAACTACTATTATGTTTGATTTCTTGTCAACCCTACTATTAAAAGGTAGGTTTCTTTTATTTGTATTTATAATTACTTCTTTTTTTCTATTGGTAACAAGAGCTGAGTAATAATAAACGGAAGATATATTTTTTAAATTGTATCCCTGGCGTCATTTTTGGCAATGATTTCGGTATAAACTTTCGACCGTGAATGGTGGGAATTGTGGGATTGAAATATGGATATCTGAATTGCTATTTTTTGAGCGCCAGCCAAATGTTCAAAGCGAATTGTTCGGCAATATTTTTCGTGTAATTGGGTTTAAATACCTTAACTATTATTATCACAAGTCTCTATTTCAGCTCATAACTTCATATATTYATTGTGACAAAAACCTGAAAATTTCTCGGTATGATATTTCAAAAATTTTTTGCTAAGTTGGTAGGACTATTCTTAATTACTACGTCAAATATAAGCGCCATCTGTCAACCAGTTTGTTTAGAACAGCTGCTTAAGTCKKTACACCTCAGTAGTGAGTTGAGATTTTGGCAATGGATAAAAATATTGAACAAAGAATTTATTTCAAATTTTGTATTACTAACCAAATTTCGTTTGCGGAATCATTGCGAATGTTAGAAAGAGCTTACGGTGATTCAGTTTTATCAAAAACACAAGSCGACGAATGGTACAAAGCCTTCAAAGACGACCTTCGACGACGACCTCTTGAACGTGTTAAAAAAGTGAAGGATATGTTGCTTGGAAATCGTCAGGACATATTAGAGAGACGGTAAGAGAACTTGACATCTCTCACGAGTCCGTTAAAATCATTTTGGTGGATCGAATCGTCTCGATAAAGCTGAATTTAAATCCAAAAACACAACGAATACCATCGATCGACCACCATATTCACCAAATTTGGCTTAAGCTTCGATCCCGAAAATGGAACTTGTGCTAATTTCGCTGATGTAGCAGAAGGTCATCCCAAAAAGTGTTTATGAAAAATGTTTCGACTACTGGAAAATCGTTGGCGCAAGTGTATTACATCTGGTGGGGATTACTTTGAAGGCAACGAAATAAATGTTGATGAATAATTAAATATTTGCATTTTATTTACAATTTCCGGGTACTTTTTTGTTACAATTTACAAAGGGCGGTTCACAGTTAAAGTTATACATACCTAATTGATGTTTCCAAAACCTTTCTAAGTTCAATTCCTGACCACAAAATATGTATATAATATGTATATGTATATACATGATTAATCTCAACAAAATTTGAGTACATACATATGTTCAAAAATGAACATGTACTCGTACGTTGATAATATGGACATTCAGTACACATCAATATATTTAGTTTTATTAAGCTTAAGAATATTCAACATATTAGATAAGATATGAAACTATGTAATTCTCACTATTTTAAAAACACATACAGTCCACTAGTATTGAATAATTACTTTTTCTCTCGACAATATGTTCAAATATATTGAATAGACTTATCTTCGCCAATGCTGAGGGCAGTACAAAGCAAATAAATAAAACAAACGCATAAGGATACATACATTTATATGAGGCACGTRTGCATTTTTATGCAATACGTATGCACTCAACAATTAACAAACAAAAATATTTACTTAAGATAACATATTGACCTAAGATATGCATTTAGGCAATTGAATACAAATGTRTATGTGCACTTCAAAACAACCCCATACCATGTAGMATAAACAATGTGCTGCATGCATATGAACATACACACATTCATATATATTAATATAGTTAAGATAGTTCTTAAAATTGTATATAAGTAAATACGTAAAAACTCTAAATAAAATCAGACTAAAATAGTTCTCGTAGAATGAAATAGTTTTCACAGAACAAAACTTGACTATCAATTATTTCCCCCCACCAGTGGTAAGGAATATTTCACAAAGCTTGTCTTTTGTTCAACATATGTACATAATATGACATTTTTGGGAGATAGGTTAGGCTGTATTCAGTACCTCATAATTAAACAAGTAAGGAAGGGCTAAGTYCGGGTGTCACCGAACATTTTATACTCTCGYATGATAAAGTGATAATYGAGATTTCAGGCGTGGTTGTGAACCGATTTCACCCATATTTGGTACATGTCATCAGGGTGTTAAGAAAATGTTATATACCGAATTTCATTGAAATCGGTTGAGTATTTCCTGAGATATGGTTTTTGGTCCAAAAGTGGGCGACGCCACGCCCATTTTCAGTTTTTAAAAAAAGCCTGCATGCAGCTTCCTTCTGACATTTCTTCCGTAAAATTTAGTTGGTTTGACGTTTTTTGTTAGTCGGTTAACGCACTTTTAGTGATTTTCAACATAACCTTTGTATGGGAGGTGGCGTGGTTATTATCCGATTTCTTCCATTTTTGAACTGTATATGGAAATGCCTAAAAGAAACGACTCTATACAGTTTGGTTGACATAGCTGTAGTAGTTTTCGAGATATGTACAAAAATGTTAGTAGGGGCCGGGGCCACACCCACTTTTCCAAAAAAATTACGTCCAAATATGCCCCTCCCTAGTGCGATCCTTTGTGCCAAATTTCATTTTAATATCTTTATTTACGGCTTAGTTATGACATTTTATAGGTTTTTGGTTTCCGCCATTTTGTGGGCGTGGCAGTTGGCCGATTTCGCCCATCTTCGAACTTAACCTTCTTATGAAGCCAAGAAATACGTGTACTAAGTTTCATCATGATATCTCAATTTTTACTCAAGTTACAGCTTGCACGGACGGACGGACAGACAGACATCTGGATTTCAACTCTACTCGTCACCCTGATTACTTTGGTATATCTGACTCCTTTAGTTTTAGGACTTACAAATAACCGTTATGTGAACAAAACTATAATACTCTCTTTAGCAACTTTGTTGCAAGAGTATAAAAATATCAAAATCAGTTAACACAATTGAAACTCTTAAATTTTATTAAACGAATTCATGGGCTTTTTCAGATGCCATTAAAAAGTGATCAAGAGATTATGGAAAATTCAATGCTTGAGGAGGATCCGAATGGCAATTCGGCACTCGAACAGGTGTTCAACACAGAAAAGAATTCTCCTCGTTGGGGACCACAACATAAGGGTGCACAAGAGCTTGCTAAGCTGTATGGCCCAGGTAAAACTTCTATTGAATTTTTAATTTTCAGCAGAAGTTATTCTTTGGTTTCTTATTTTRCAGGGAAACGTCTACAAGAGATAGTCTGCGTTTACACCTGCATCGCACTCATGATAGTTGACCTGATTCTGATCCTAAAACATATACATTTTGAAAGACTGAGTGTGGCTTGTGTATCGGCATTGTGTGGTATTATAACGGCCGACTTCGGTTCCGGATTAGTCCACTGGGCAGCTGATACTTGGGGTAGCGTTGAATTACCGGTCATTGGGAAGGTTGGTTAAATTTGTAATACAAGTATAGGTACTCAAATATATAGTATGTGGATATATAAATTAAAATTTGCATTTATTCAGAATTTTTTACGACCTTTCCGTGAACATCATCTGGATCCAACATCTATAACGCGGCATGACTTCATTGAAACCAATGGTGACAACTTTATGGTTAGCATACCCATATTGGGCTTCTTAGCATACAGCTTTAACACGAAATCACCTCAAGATATTCAGCAAGATTTTGGCTGGATATCATATTTGTTTTTGTGTTCAATATTTGTGGCTATGACAAATCAGGTGAGTTATAAATATAGTGAAAATAATATTTAGAAGTTAATCCGTAAAAAAATAGTTTTTGAAGACAAGAAAACGGAGAGTCGTTATATAACTATATTCTTCCTGCTGTTGGAGAATGCCAATGGTCGTTTAGTTCGAAATATTTATGTTCATTCAAACGCTGTTTCGTAGAAGTCAGCAATCTGTTGTCGACTTCACGAAATGGAGCAATTAAACTTTAGCTCAATTCAACTTTGTTTTGSTATTGCAATTTTCAGTCGAAGTTTTGCAAATCTAAAAAATTTAGWTTTGACAGATAATTAAACAGATGAAACAGAAACGAAAAATTAATATAATGTAATTTGATTTTTGTTCACAAAAAGGTGAATAAATATTAAAAAGCACCTTAGGTTTTATTTATGTTACGACTACAAAAGTGCTGCGTTTCA